TGACAAAGTTTACCCGCTTCCGAACACACACACATTGCGGGCGACCTCTCGACAATGTACACTTTTGCTTAATGCAGCAGCGCTAATAGCGCTGCACAGCAAAAATGCATAAAGAATCAGAAAGTTGCTTCATTGCGCGAGCAGAGCGGCAAATATTCCGAAATTAAGGCCGACTTTTTTAAGGATAAGCGTCGCAATAGTTTCACTCATAACAACCTACGCGACACACTCCCAATATTATTCTGGCAATTTGGACACCTAGTGGTACATAAAGAAGAATGAGCTTTGTATGGGCGGGCGCCGAAATATTTTGAAGTGGAGGTTAGACGTGCCTTTGTGATTGATGTGTCTTCTCCCGCAGCAAGCGCTTGTTGACAGAGTTTCTCACTTATCAGAAAGCGCTTTTTGGCGGAATTCATGTGGTGGCTCCATCCAGAGCAGGACCTCGTGAATTGTAACAATGTAGTGCTGCAGAAAAGAGCAAAAGTAATACCTGAGTGGTACCCTTGGGTCGTGCTCGTAGTGCCGATGATGCATTTCCAGATCTTGCGATAAGCACATCATTGATATGTAACTGAGTATAATCAGCGTTAACGTCATCTGCAAAAGCACCTTTTACAGTTTTTGCTCGTTTTTGGCCTTTCTGACCTAACGGTCACGTCGATTTTTGCTTGTCATTGCGCTTCTCCAAATGCTCATTCTTCTATTGCACGAAACCCTTGATGTGCGTATGTTTTAAACCAACATAAAGGAAATACATCGGTAGGCGATATCGCGGGAAATCTCCAAGACTTAGTAGAAGTGGCTTACTCTGGAATACGAATGGGGAAACAGAAATGCGCGCGTGCAACTGTTTTCAGTGGGTACGCGTGTTACAGTTAACGCCATTGTGACAAAAGCGTAGTGATTCCTGATTCGAAAAGTTCGGCGAGAGTGAAGATAAAAAATTCAGTTGCTGTTTAGCCCAGACTTTCCAAACAGAAATTAAAAAACTTAAGTAAAATCACTGGACAGCGCACTGACTGCCAGTGCGAAAATGCATTTTTTGCATAGTTCTCCGC